TGTTCCCTTTTTTATCAATGGTGTCTAGGCATCATTCCTAATTTCAAATACCTGCAATTTCAAAGCTTTACATCATTCATTGACACATAATATGCATTTGAGGACACTAATTTTGTTAAAATAAAGACGTAAATGAGTCCAAATTGTGGACTTATCAACACCCCCAACTTAAAATTTTGCTTTTCCTCAAGTAAGACTCAAGTTTAGCAGTTCAAAAAGAATGTCTCAAATGGTGCTACACAAGACTCAATCAGGAATGCACACAAGAAGACTCAACTTACTCATGCAAGGATCAAATGTACACTCAAAGATTCAAGTTGTGACTCATCATTACCAAAGAATCTCAAGTTCACATTACTTGCTTCAAATGCAAGTTCAAGCTCAACAAAGGTGATCAAATACCCTCACACAAAGAATGATTCCATATTATCACACAATTATTCATCAATTTAATGTTTCGGAATCAAATGCAACAGTCACACTCACAAAGATGAACACAATGTAAGATTTTCACCCATAGGCTTTCCCTTATTTTCTAATCGATATTTGTTTCAGCTAATTCAAGATCAAAAAGTTCTTTTAAAGGTTTGTAATGTGGCTGAGTACAATGGTATGGTCATTTAGGCTCATAGGTTGTAATCCCCGTGAAATGTGATATGAACAACACCCTTTTCCCTTTTCTTTATCATTTTCATTCAAGCTCAAAAGTAACCTCTTATTCATCTTCCATGGACCGTTGGAAACCCCATTTTCTTTGTATTTTCACAACTTTATTCCACAACTTTTTCTTTTTTTCTTTTTCATTTTTTATTCTTTTTTTATACATAGAGGGGTTTCATTTTTCTCAAAACATGGGCAAAAGGGACTTCTTTGCATTTTTTTGATTCACCTTTTCTTTTCACCAAACCACCAACTTAGGCTTTTGGCTTAAGTTGGGTAATCAAACATGCCACAAATCATGAGGATTATGGGTAATGGATCAAGAAAGGTTTGGCTTTCATCAAGTTTCTTCCAAGAAAAAGGTAAGGCTTAGGGGATGCTCAAAAGGAGTTCACACACTCACAAGGTAGGCCACAAAAACAGGTATAATGTCAAATTGGTTCACACTCTTTAAAGTTTCCTAAGATCATCTTAAGAAATTGCCTCACTTAGTTAACCGGACTAACGGCGAAATTCTAGGTGTCATTATACATGGTTCATGGTAAGCTTATCACACAAGGCATCGATACCAATGTCAAAACATGACTCCACACTTTTGCTAGTGTGCAATGTTCATCACAAGAGACTCAATCTGGTACTTGGCTAGTCACAACGAGTTGCAAATAGTTTACATATTGACTATGCAACTTTATTTGGCCTCATCATAGCCACGTATTCATGTTTGTTTGATTATAAGCACTATTTAATTCATCGGTATTGATCAAAACTGACACTCAAATTTGTAAAAGACAACCTCTTTCAACACAAACAAGGGGTGATTAAAAAGAGGATGAGGTTCGCTGAGGACACTGAGTAATCTCCACACCCCCACAAAAAAGTAGTTTACATTGTCCTCACTGTGGGTGGATAGCTGGCATTTTACCGCAAATAAAACAAAATAGGTAAAGTAAATAAAGACTAACAAGAAATGAAAACAATCTAGTGTGTAAACAAGTAGAGCAGGGTAACGAGCAATCTTCACTAAATGCCCAGTTGGCAATGGAGTGAAATGGTCACCGAATGCTTCGGCGTTGCGCCTAATGTTCTTCAGATCACCCTTAGTTCTAGTAGACTGCACTCCCACAGAGGGCAAATTTAGGGGGTCGCCGAACATATCGGCAATCTGCATAATGAGCTCAGAATATCGCCGGTCGATCCTTGAGGGGCATTGTCAGTGTTGACTAGAAAGGGCGTGGAAAATCAGGATGCCCAAACACATCGACGAAACCCTGAATGGTGAATGTGTCCCACCTAATGTTCCAGAGTCTTAGCCTCATTTTTTAGATCCATAAGGCGAACCAAATCGTGCTCGCCGAACTGATTCAGCGATTCACCGAGAGTACCTTTGTCTTGCTCGTGATCCCACTCTGGCAAAATCAACAAATATTATTTAAAACACTAACATTTGGGTTGCCTCCCAAGAAGCGCCTTATTTAACGTCGTGGCTTGACGAGGAAATACTCTCAAGCATCATCCAGATACACCACCTCAATCAAAAAAATCTCTAGGGATTCTCCAAAGTATAATTTCAAGTATTGCCCATTCACATTAAATGTAGGTCCCTCTTGACCCTCAATTTCTATGACACCATTGGTGAGTACTCTTGTCACTCTAAATGGTCCTTACCATTTGGACTTGAGTTTTCCGGGAAAGAGTCTAAGTAGGGAGTTGTATACTAACACCTAATCTCCCACCTTGAACTCTCTCTTAAGTATCTTTGCATCGTGCCACTTCATTTTTTCCTTGTAGAGAGCTAAACTTTTGTAAGCTTTAAACCTTAATTCGTCCAACTCGTTTAACTACTCTACTCTCTCTTTTGAGGTTTATGTCCAGTCCAAATTTAGAGCTTTCAATGCCCACATTGCTTTGTGTTCTAGCCCGACTGGTAGATGGCAAGACTTCCCAAAAACTAGCTGATACAGAGACATACCAATAGAAGTTTTGTAAGCGGTGTGATACGCCCATAGTTTGTCATTAAGCTTTCGAGACAAATGAGTCATATTAGAATTCACTGTCTTTGCCAAGATGTTCTTGACCTCTCGGTTTGATACTTCAACTTGACCGCTTGTTTGGGGATGATATGGAGTAGCTACTTTGTGTTTCACCCCATACATACTCAATGCAGCTGAGAACCATTTGTTGGAAAAGTGGGAACCACCATCACTAATAATAGCTCGAGAAGTACCGAATCTAGATAAGATGTAGTGTTTCAGAAATTGAACCACACTTCTCCCTTCATTGTTTGGTAGTACCACAGCTTCGACCCATTTAGAAACATAATCTACTGCCACCCAGATATATTTATTACCAAATGAACTCACAAATACGCCTATGAAATTGATTCCCCAAACATCAAATAGCTCGACTTCCAAAATGGGAGTAAGAGGTAACTAATGTCATTTAGATACTTCACCTTGCTTCTGACATTGGGCGCATTTCTTCACAAATTAATGTGCATCTTTGTAGAGGGATGGCCAGTAGTATCCACTTTGGAGAACTTTAGCAGTTGTACGCACATCGCTATGATGGCCTCCAACTGGTGAGGTATGACAAGCATGGAGAATTTCAATCGCCTCTTCTTCCGGAACACACCGTCTGATGAGATGATCTGCACACTCTCAAAACAAGTATGGTTCATCCTAAAAGTACTTTTTAATATCGAACATGAACCTCTTTTGTTGGTAGAAGTTCAGCTCATCTGGCATTAATCCGCACACTATGTAATTGGCAAAATCTGCATACCAAGGAATTTGTTTGAGAGTTAATGCAAACACTTGTTCATCGGGGAAGGAATCGTCCATGTCAACCTCAGGATCATCATTTTCCTTGCCCTCTAATCTAGATAAGTTGTCAGCCACCTGATTTTCACAACCTCTTCTATCTTTGACCTCAAACTCAAATTCTTACAATAGGAGCACCCACCTTATCAACCTTGGTTTTGCATCCTTCTTAGCCATTAGGTACCAGAGTGCAGCATGATCAGTGTAAACAATTACTTTTGTTCCTAACAAGTATGCCCGACATTTCTCAAATGCATAGACTAGTATAAGCAACTCTTGTTCGGTCATAGTATAATTACGTTGAGCACTGTTTAGAGTCTTGCTTGCATAATAAATTGGGTGAAAAAGTTTATTGCGTTTCTGCCCCAATACAACACTCAATGCCGTTCCACTTGCATCACACATTACTTCAAAAGATTCTGACCAATCAGGACTAATAATGAATAGGGTCGATTCTAGTTTTTCCTTCAATCACCGGAAAGCCACCATACAAGCATCATGAAATTGAAATTTCACCTCTTTCTCTAAGAGTTTGCATAAATGATGTGCAATCTTTGAGAAGTCGTTGATGAACCTTTGGTAAAAACTGGCATGTCCTAAGAATCTACGAAACCCCACTACCAAAATTGGTGGTGGCAATTTCTCAATAACTTCAACATTTGCTCTATCAACCTCTAGCCCATTTTGTGACACCTTGTGACCAAGTACTGTTCCTTCTTTAACCATTTAGTGACACTTTTCCCAGTTGAGGACCAAGTTCGTCTCCACACATCTTTGGAGAACTTGTCCTAAGTGTTCTAAGCACGTCTCAAAGGTATCACCCACAACTGAGAAGTCATCCATAAATACCTCTATTTAATCTTCTACCATGTTGGCAAAAATCGATAGAATGCAACGCTGAAAGGTTGACCTTTTAAAGGCAAAGGTACCATAGGGGCATGTGAAGGTGGTTTTCTCTTGGTCTTCCGGTGCGATGGAGATTTGGTTGTAACCAGAATACCCATCTAAAAAGTAGTGCCAACCCCTCTCTGATAGCTGGTCAAGCATTTAATTAATGAAGCCATGTGAAAGTGATCCTTTTCAGTCCATGAATTTAGCTTTCGATAATCCATGCGTACTCTACACCTGGTCACCGGTCTAGTCGGCGCAAGGTCCCCTTTTTCATTTGGGACTACGGTGATACCTCCCTTTTTTCGGTACACATTATACTGGACTTACCCATTTGCTATCTCCAATAGGGTAGATCACACATGTGTCCAACCACTTGATTATCTCCTTTTTTACCACTTTTTGTATTGGTGCGTTCAATCTCCACTGCTGCTCAACACTAGGATTGCCCTTATTATCAAGCTGAATTTTGTGAGTACAAATACATAGAGGGATGCCCACTATATAAGCGATAGTCCATCCTATAGCTTTTATATGTTTTCGCAACACTTCAATGAGAAATTTCACCTGCCATTCTAGCAAGTCAGCTGCAATGATCACCGATAAAGTGTTATTTGCCCCCAAGAAAGCATATCAGAGATGAGATGGAAGTGCTTTCAATTCCAGATTAGGTGATTCTTCTGTTGATGGCTTTGTGGGAGGATTCTCTCTATTTTTTAGGTCAATATCCAACTTGATTGGAGTCTTTGAATACCCTCCTAAACCGGTCAAAGCAACTACTACCTCCCCAAAGCCTTGAATTTCGGATTCATCATAATTAGCAAGTACAACTTCTAGGGGTTCATTCATGCACATCAAATGGCTTACGCTATCCACCGCCTTATCGATAATATCATCAGTGGACACCACATGAATATCAGTTGGGGGTTTCATGGATTTGAAAATATTAAAGGTTACTTCATCTTCGTTCACCCAAAACTTCACTTCTCTACTTTCAACATCTACCAATGCTCTCCCGGTTGCTAAGAATGGCCTTCCCAAAATTAAGCGAATTTCAACATCTATTTCACAATCTAAAATAAAAAAATCATCCAAAGAAATGAACCTATCGACCTTCACCAAGATGTCATAAAGTATCCCCACGAGATCTTTGATTGAGCGGTCTGCCATGAAGAGTCTCATTGTGGTTGTTTTCGGTTCACCCAACCAGAGGTTTTTGTACATCGCATAGGGCATTAAGTTGATTCTTGCTCCTAGGTCGCATAAAGCTTTAGCGAATTGGAGCATGCCTATGGTGCAGAGAATGGTGAATGCCCCAGGATCTTCTCTATTTTTTATCAGCTCCTTAGTCATAATTGCACTGCAACTATGGGAAACTTCAACTGTCTCAAAATCCAAACTTCTCTTCTTTGGGACCAACTCTTTCATGAACTTGGCGTACCCCGGCATTTCCAACAATGCTTCCACAAGGGGGAGGTTGCCTGATAGTGTCTTGAACACCGATAAACATTTCTTGAACTTCTCATCTTCATTCTTCTTCTTTAGGCGTTGGGGAAATGGTGGAGGTATTTTGGGTAAAGGTTGTATGACTTTTGGAATTTGAACATGTTGTTCCACTTCCTTATGTGGTTTTTTGGCAAGGTTTTGATGAATAAGTAACTCTTGTTCCTCCATGCCTTTACTTTCTTCATGCTTTTGATCATCTTTATTTCCCATCAAATTACCTATTACCACAATTCCACTGCGAGTAACTACAACCAGCCCTCTATCGTCGTCCTCCATCGTTATCTTCGTTTCAATTGAGCTGATAATAAACTCAGTTTTCCTTCAAGTGTCTTGATGGCATCGGCATGGGAGTTCACTTTACTATTCAATAATGAAAAGTCATCTTTCATCCCTTTCAACAAATCATCCAAACCTTCAACTTTATCAAGTATGTGTGACAACAAGTCATTCACCCGGGGACTGCTTACACTCCCTTTTGATTTTGGGCTTTCACTAGAGTGGGTATGGTTCTCCTCATGGTCATCTTCTCTTTTCCAATAATCATTTTTCTCAGCCCAATCTTGATAGTATCTCTTTTGTTCTTGTCCCTTATGATAGTTCCAACCTTGATTTCCGCCACGTTGTAGGTAGCGTGGGTGGAAATCCTCCTCATATCTCTTAGAGTTCCAACCTTGATTCTCCCCTGGCCTTGAGTAACCGGAAGAAGAACCCTCCTCAACTCTAAACACTCCACATGTCCCCTTCATGTGCTCTTGTAGAAATTCAATTTGGGTCAACATCTTCTTGATATTCTCATCCCCGTCTCTCTCTTTATCAAGTTGCTCTTGCGTTAATCTAAAACAAAAAGGAGAGACTTGATCCTCTTGGGTATACCACACTTGGTTTATCCTAGTCATGTCATCTAGAAGAAACGAAGCTACCTCAAATAATTGTAACATTATTCCTCCTCATACCAATTGTTCAGCCACTCCTTTATAACCGAATCAAGACTTCGGTAAAAATATTGAAGTAACAAATCGTTTGGTAGCCCATGAGTTGGGCATTTAAGTAGGAGCTTCTTGAATCACACCCACGTTTTGATGGATGAGTTCCCCCTCCCGTCGCTTGAAATTTTGAATTTTGTCTCTAAGTTTCATCATTCTTGATGGAGAAAAGATCCTTGTGTTAAACGCTATAACCAGCTCCTCCCATGATGTGATGGAATTGTTTGGTAACTCGGCTAACCACTCATTAGCTTCTCCTGTTAAGGACAGTGGGAATAACTGCAACCGAATTGACTCTTGTGACACATTTTTGAATGAAAAATGGTTGCAAACCTCTGTAAAGTTTGTCACATGCTCATGCGGGTCTTCGTGATCTAGCCCTCCTTATAGTCCCATCGTTTAAAGTAGATGAAGAGTTGTGCTAGTGACTTCAAACATCACATTCTCATAAGTCTGTGGGATGCAAATCGCACCCATTCCACCAGATGACCTGTTTGGCTGGGTTTAGACACTATTGATGTAATTTATACCATCTCAATGACCTGTTTGGCGATCACTCATCTCTTTCTCCCTCATGTTAACTTTTACGTATTCCAACCAACACTTACACAAAGAAGCCAAAACTAAATCAACTACAACTAACGAATTTGAGATTGTCAAATCTTCAATCAAAGAATTCTAAGTAACACTACTCCCCGGCAGCGGCGCCATTTTGATTTCACATATCAGGACACTACTTCCAGTTCAAGTGCCAATTATCGTGAGTAGTAATATAACCCAACTAGTAAGTTGGGGTCGAGTCCCAATGGAGTGGTTCGTAGTTGAGAATCAATAGAAAAGTAAAAATGTGTTCAAGTCAATCATAGTTAAAAGCATTTACGAAAAAAAATGATAAATTAAAGGGTGACACAAGTGCCAAGTATCAAAGGGCGGTTCGTAGTCAACTAGCAACTAAAAACAACAATTAACACGAAAATACGAATATGGAGACGGGATTCTTGGGATGTGATAGGATTATGGGCTAAGGTAAACAACTGGGTAATTGGATTAATACTAAACCGTTGTAAATCAATGAATAAGCTAGACTTTAGTGGGCGTAAATTTTCTCTCGAAAAATTTACTCTGAATCGAATTGGTTTCTCTCGAACACCAATAAGCCACAATAAAGCACATCCTTCGCTTTTGTCCATTCTCTCTCTCTCGCTGAATGTGTGGGAAAGGGCTTAGGATTCACTCTCTCGAGCTGAACCCATGTCAACTCAATACCCACAGACCATCGATTCAATAATTTTGGTTTTACGAACTTTCTCTCGAGCAAGCCATAAACACGAAATTAAGATTGTATTTGCAACTACAAACCATTAAATTCAACCACAATTACTTAATGAAATCACTTTTAAACAACGAAGAAACAATCAATTAGCAATACCCAACAATTAATTCAACTCATAATCACATAATCACACCCCAAGAATTGGGGTTTTAGCTAGACATAGTAAAAAGATAGAAATCGATACCGAAATGTGTTTCCATCAATTGGGTACGATTGATATGGTCTTTACAAACGTCTAAGATGAAGAATCTGCAATACCCACTTCGAATTTCTTTAAAATGTGATCTTCAAAATCTCCAAAGCTAAGGAAAATTGTCTCCAAAAACTATGTTTTAAAAATGAATAACTCTGAAAAATGGTTTCTGATTACATAAACTCTTTCTAAACTAAAAATTCAAACAAGTATTTATAGTTGTCAAAAAGTCTGTTGATTTCGAAATCATGGAGATCCAATTTCATCTTGGGTTGACATATAGTGCGACTTGTCAGATATATTTGGTCATATAGTATTTCCCCGTTCTCTCCCCAGATCAAGATATCCCTCGTTTCGCCTAAGAAAGATAAATTGAATCATCAAAAATTTGGAGCGTGAAGTGCAATTAGATCCATTTTTGAGGGGAATCATATTACTATTATCAATTCAAATAATTTATTGTTGGCTTGGTTGGCTAAATAAATGAAGCATCCAGGCTCCGTTTAGAAAAAACCTAATTGGATTGGTAAGATATCTATGATTGCTATTTATATTTTTTCTTTGTAAAGAGATCATAATTTTCAGGCAAAGTTATCTGAACTTTAATAAATACTTGTATAAAATGAATGTGAAGAATCACTCAGCGCAGTTAGTCGGGATAGCCGATCCACTCGACGATCCGCCCTTTGGTCAATTGTATCACCGTTCTGCTTTTCCCTTCAGCATCCTTGAGGTCTTCTACATTTGGGTGATAAGGCACTCTATCGCGGAACTGTTCAGCGACACACCGACTTCTCTTTTATCTCACTGACTAGATCTTCTCCTTTCGGGCTTGGCACACTAGAACATTAGGCGAGACCAATGCCATTCGGGGACTCGCCTAATGGTTTAGGCGATCCTCAGGCTTTAATTTCTTTGTTCTTTGATCCGTTTGTTCCTTCTTGATTAATAGTGTCTATGCTTTATGCCGAAGTCCAAATACCTGAAATTCAAGGATTTACATCAGTTCTTGAGACAAAATATGCATTTGAGGAAACTAAATCTATTATAATAGAGCCCTAAATGAGTCCAAAACGTGGACTCATCAATAGAAAGGCCAAGGTTGAGGCTCCCAAGACTCTTATGTTCAAAGGAGTCTGTAATGCGCAAGTGGTGGAGAATTTCATATTGCACTTGGAAAATTACTTCAAGTGTAACCGAGTTAAGAGTGGCGATGGTGGCCATGCTATGGTGGAGGCTTAAAGAATCAGAAATAGGGAAGGGTCTTTGCACTATCAACACTAGGGAGTGATTCCAAGTGGAGTTCAAGAAGGCATTCTTCCCTAGCAATGTCATCTATGAGGTGAAGTGCAAGTTCAGGGATTTGAAGCAAACATGCAACATTCAGGCATATGTGAAAGAGTTCACCACTCTAATGCTTCATATTCCAAACCTCATGGATAAATATATGTTGTTTCACTTCATGGATAAGCTACAAAACTAGGGTTGGACGGAGTTGGAACACCGATAGGTTAGTACTATCAATGATGCCATCATGTATGTCAAAGCTTTGACAAACTTAAGGCATGAAAAACCCGATAGCGCCAGAGGAGAGTAGGTGAGAGGTAGGTATTCATGACCATGGTGGGGATGATCATGGAAAAATCGAAGAGCAGCAACCACATCCCAAGAATCATGATACCTATAGGTCTGATGGCAAGAAGTCTGAACAACATGGTGATACACAGAGGAAGGAAGAAACTTCCAAAATAAATGGGGTCTACATATGCGGTGGGATGTAGTTTCATGCAAGGTTCCCTGAACTGAAAAGGCTTTGTGCTATCCTGCGAGAGCAGAAGGAGAAGGATGCACAAGAGAAAGGACAAGGCGCAGAGATAACAAAGTTGGGATTGTTAGGACTATGTGGAGCTATCATGAAGCAGCCAGGGAAATTGAGAGAATACGGCGCATAGTATGTTGACATCATGATTAATGGAAGACCCGCTCATGATTTTGTTGACACGGGTACTGAGGCCAATATCATGACCAGTACGGTAGTGAAAAGGTTAGGGCTAAGTTACAATTCAAGTACGCCCAACTCAGGATGGTCAATGCACTACTAACTCCCGTGTGTGGACTCGCACATGGAGTAAGCATCACACTAGATGAATGGCACGGTAAAACTAACTTCACTGTCGCTCTTTTAGACCTCTTTGACATAATTCATAGGCAAGATTTGTTCCAGTAGTGTCACTGATGTTTTCATCATCAAGACACAACTTCCGATACAAGTGTCTATGATTGTACAATAGTTTAGTAACCCAACCAAGGGTTGGGATCGTTCCCAAGGGAGTGGTTTTGAGAATTAATAGAAAAATGAAATTTAGTTCTAACTAGTCGTAGCTAAAGACATTAACGATTAAAAGACATTATAAATTAAAGGGGGACACGAGTGTCAATTAACAATGGAGTTTTGTCACTAGTGAGTAGAAACAGCAAAATAAACAATAATTTCTAAGTAATGAGAGGGGATCCTTGGGATGTGACAGGAATATGGGTTAAGCTACATTATTGGCTACATGCTTTCGATAGAAGATTCAAAGAATAATTGTGACTAGACTAAACTTTAAGGGGGATTAGCTCTCTCTCGAGCATCTTACCCCGTTTCAAATGCGTTCCTCTCGGACACCCACTAGCCGCATAAAGACCAGCCTACACTTTAACCCACTCACTCTCTCGAGCTTAGTCTGTGGACATTGGACTAGGGTTCACTCTATCGAGCTGAATG